GGACAGGCAAGTTAGGCTCCTGTCTGAAAGCATAGCAGAGCATCATTAATAGTGTCAATGGCTGGTACACTACCATGGGCCAATTATTGTTTGGACTTTTCCTCAAACTTTGTTCCCTCATTATCACTGCACTCCTTGTATGCAAGGTAATTTTTGGATCACAGGTTTTTGATAAGTTGTTGTTCCCCTCCTTCCACTACCCCTGCCTGCCTAGGAGGTTATTACTTCAATCTTCATATCTCCTGTCCTCTCCCCACCACTCCAGTTAGCAGTCTCAGCTAGAGTCATATCCATATCCTCCCAGGAGCCTACCCTGTCATAGACCTCCAGCTTGACCAAGAGATGTCCTCCTTCAGTTTTCTTTCTTGTTCCCAGCCCTTTCCCCTCCCATTCCAGTTCTCCCTACATCTGATTTCCCCCCTTCATTCCATTTCCTTCTCCATTCCATTTCCTTCCCAGTTCCCTCTCTTCATCTACCTCTACTCTCTATTCTATTTCCCTTCTAAATGACATTCCAGCACCCTTCCTTGGACCCTCCTTGTTATTTTGGTTTTTTGGGGTCTGTGGATTATAGTGAGTACATACCAAATGCATCTTTCTGGGTCTCAGTTATTTCAGTTAGGATGATATTTTCTAGATCTATCCATTTGCCTGTAAATTTCATAATTTCCTTGATTGTAATAGCTGAGTACTATTCCATTGTGTAATTATACCACAATTTCTGTATCCATTTTTGGTTGAGGGACATCTAGGTTGCTTTGAGTTTCTGGCTATTACAAATAAAGCCACTATGAACATAGTTGAGCAAATGTCCTTATTGTATGGTGGAGCATATTTTGGGTACATGTCCAGAAGTGGTATAGCTGGGTCTTGAAATGAAGATTTTTGTAAATCAAAGGACACTGTCAATAGAACAAAACGTCAGCTGAAAGACTGGGAAAAGATCTTTACCAATGCTACATCAGACATAGGGCTGATATGTAAAATATGCAAAAAACTAAAGAAATTAAACACCAGCAAATCAAATAATCCAATTAAAAAATGAGAAACAGAGCTAAACCAAGAATTGACAGCAACTGTAAGATTCAATTTTCCACCAGTCAGAATGACTAAGATAAAAAATTCAAGTGACAAAACATGAGGATGTGGAGAAAGGGGAACACTCCTCCATTGCTGGTGGGAGTGCAAATTTGCACAACCTCTCTGGAAATCAATCTGGCAGTTTCTTAAAAACTGGGACTAATTCTACCTAACACTGGTTCTTATTGATTATATAATGCCAAGTTTTTAATCAGAAACAATATACAAACAAACAATATGAATTGACTCAAGTTGTTCTATTTATATAAATTTGTGCATATATAAATACAATCAAATACGAGGTGGTAACCCAGGAAGGGGTTGATGAAGGGTATCTTGGAGTGTTGGAGGAAGAAAAGAGAGGAGAGAAGAGATATAATCCATCCCAATTAAAAACAGTAAAGGAAGCAAAAGAAAATAAAATGTCAGATTTTATTTGTCCAGAGTTTTCTTTTAAGTGAAAAATCAAAAAGCACAAATATTCTTCACAATATGACAGTAATTAAATATAATGTTTGACAATATTAATTTATTGAGCCACATGTCAAGGAGAGGCAGGTAATCTCTATCTGGTGCTTATTCATGAGAAAGGTGTGCTTAGAGAAAGCAAAAATTTGTCTGGTCTCACAAGCAAAGTTTGTGGCAAAACTTGTTGCTATCTGATCATTTCTTAATCATTTCACACCACATTAATCTTTGAGCAACTGTGCAACATGACCACAGCCACCCACAAAATGGCAAATAGATTTTAGTTCCTCCAACATGAGATGCATTTATTAGAATGTACTAATGCTTAGTGGGACAGGTTATGAAGAACTAGAGATTCATTATTTAATGTCTATTATTGTGATTTTTTTAAAAAAAATATACAGTTGAAGTCCATAGAGCAAAATTACAACAAAAACAGCGACAATCCTTATTTACTTTGCTGTTGTGGTGTTAGAACGTTGACAAAAAGCAGCTTGGGGATCAAAAGGGTTTATTTCAAATTACGTTACAGTCTATCATCAAGGAAGACAAGTCAGAAGCTTGTGGTTGAACATGAATCAGAGGGTCTAGCAGAACACCACTTGATGACTTGGGCCTAAAGACTTGCTCAGTTACCTATCTCATACAGCCAGGGCCATTTACCTAAGAACGGCACTGCCCACACTGATATCAGTCTACCCACACCAATCAGCAATTACCAAATGGGCCCACAGAGCAATTGTGTGGTGGCTCTCTCTCAGTCGACTCCCCTTTTCTTAGGTATGTCTAGTTCAAAACTAAATGTAAGTGTACTTGAAAAGCAATATGAATATAATTTTAAGATGAAATGCATACCTATGAATACTCGAAAATACTAACTGGCAGCAATTTTGCTACAAACAAGCATGGAGAAAAGATAGATGCAGCCTGATTAATGAATTCAGGTTAAGCAGAAAAGCCAGGACAGGTAGGACTAAAAATGGCAGCTACTTGTATGATTTCATGGAGATGGGCATTCATTCATGAGAAAGCCAAATAGAACTGCCCATCTGAGAGTCCTGAAGAGTAAGTAACATCTTCTATATGATGGATACTAGACTATAAACCTTTTCCATAAATGTCTTTATTCTGTCCCATGTGTCAAATATTCAAGGAATTCCTTTTCAGGGTCTTATCCGCCATGGATGTTGACTTAGATGAATAGAAGTATGTAGGGCTTTTGGTTCAGTTCATCTTCACTCACTCACTTGCAACTATCTACCCAATGTGCAAATGATACTTCTACAGCAATGACAGAATATACCAAGTTAAAAATCAAAGCCATGCATATTTTTCATCATCATCATCATCATTATTTACAATTTATTTGCTTTTATATCCCAGTTGTAGCTCCCTCCCTCATCTCCTCTCATTTACATCCCCCCTCTCTCTTCTTCCCCCATCCCTCTTCCTTGGTCTACTGATAGGGGAAGTCTTCCTTCCCTACTGTCTGGCCCTAGCCTATCAGGTCTCATCAGGACTTCCTGGATTCTCTTCCTCTGTGATATGGGTATGTCACTCCACCAGGGAGAAGTGATCAACGAGCAGGCATGTTCATGTCAGAGACTGTCTCTTCTCCCCTTACTAGAAAACCCACATGGAGTCTGAGCTGTCTATGGGCTACATCTGAGCAGGGGTCTAAGTCCTCTCCATGCATGGTCCTTGGTTGATTCATCAGTCTCTGCAGTACCCCTTGAGCCCAGGTTAGTTTTTTTGGCTTTTTTTGTCTCCTTGTGTGGTTCCTGTCCCCTCCAGGTCCCTTTATCTCCACTTTCTTCCATGAGACTCCTGCTCTCTGTCCAATGTTTGGCTGTGAGTCTCTGCATCTTCTTTGCTTCGATGCTAGGTGAAGTCTTTTAGAAGACATCTGTGGTAGGCTCCTGTTCTGTTCCCTGTCTTCTATTGCTTCTGGTGTTTATAAACCAGGTTTTGACATCTTATTATATTCTACAATGTTAGATAAGATTAAGTTGTTCTTGGAAATGAACACTAGAGAACCACAAGAAGGACAGGTCAAGTTCAGAACCAGCTGTAGAACCAGCTTGTATTGCATGCAAATTCTTCATCATAGGTCTTCTGGAATATGATGCAAAGAAGCTTCTTCCATAACTTTTTATGGGAATGATACAGAAATGCCCCAGAGAAAGAGTTCCTACTCATGAAGTCCACTTTTATAGTAGTAGCTACTAACAAAACATCAGCACAGAGGCCCTGAAACCTGAAATAAAAGCCACCATAATCAGAAAAGTGAGATTCTTGTGCCAGCAGCTTCTCTAAAGGAGTGATTGTGTTCTCCAGAAGAGAGGATTTAACGATGCCCAGATGAGTCCCTTGGATGAATGACTTAAGCTCTGAAGGTAACACTTTTGGGTAGGCAGGTAGAAGTCAGAATAAGATTCCAATTCAGTAGATTATCTACTTAGGACGATTGTATATGTCTTGGCATGAAATTCACGTAGCACTGAACATACACCCAGCCCAGTGACATCTAATAGGGCTGAGAACACACACTTCATAGTGTAGTAGTTTCACTATTTGTGAAAACCCATCTACTAGGAATGCAACACAGAATGGGAGAATATTTTTTAAACTCAAATAATCTGAAAGGGGATTTATACCAAGGATGTGTAAAAGTTTATAAACAAAATGATAAAACCAAAAGGGGAAGGGCAAGGAGCTAGGTGAAAATGGGAGAGGAATAAGAGTTTGGTAAAGGGAGAATAATATCATCAAAATCACTGGTAGTGATGAAAAGGCTCTGAGACTTTAAGAGAGGTAAAAAAAAATGACCTAGACTTCTCTGCTCCGCAAGATATAGGGTTTTGCATATATCTTGTTGTTTTGTAGTCACTCTGACTCCTTTAGGAGTATGATCTCAATCTGATACAAGCTTCTCAAGTCACCATCCATCTTTACACCAACATTAATTATTTCTTTCCCAAAGTCTCAACCATTATGCACATGGATGTTGATATAAAAAACACTGTGAGCTTCATGGTTCCACAACTTCTTAGCATGCTGTATTCTATTACTACAACCCAATATAATACACAGAATTGATTTTTTTCACCCAAATGAATTATTTCCCCAAACACACACACACACACAGACTCATGTTTTGAATGTTGATTTTATTTTAGCAATTTAGAGATGAGCAAGGCAGTTTTACAAGAAAAAAAGGAGATTCTTCTGTTCAGAAGAGTGAGAGAGACTGAAAGGTCAAGGTTATACCTAATGACCTCATCACATATAGATTGAGGACAAGGTCTACTTTGGATTTTTGCAGGGATTAGAATGTATCCAGGTATCACAGGCAGGCATTTTTATTATTCTCTTGGCACAGGACAATGGTAATCCACTGCCTCAGAGGATTTCTTCCAACTTCCACACCCACTGTCTAGTGGAGGATTTACCTGATGCAGCCCGGAAACAGAGGACATGCAACCTGAAAGACACGGCACAAAGTTATGAGTGGTGACCATCGTGAGAAGAAAGACTTTTCCTAGAAGTGCATTGTGGACAGAGTAACATACATTAGAGAGAAGAGGGGCAATTATTTCCAGACATTCCCAGGTAAGATAAGAGGATATCGGCATGCTCACAAGATTTAAAGAATGTCATTATCAACCCATGTTCTCAAATAATTGACTTTCGTTTTTTATCCTCTCTCAGGGATTCTCTTTTAATGTAATATGATTTGTAATACAAATCATTTATAACACTACCTAGTGATAGAAGACAAGTATGTTAACGCTTCTTATCCAAACAATCTTGTTATAAACACAAAATAAATGGGTCATTTTGGCAAAAGAACTAAGTACTCTTGAGTCGTTCCTGTTACAGGGAACACAGGGAGACAGAGAGGAGCGTTGAGGATGGCCCTCATGGGAAGCAGATACCTACAGTGAAAGCCAGTACATTTTCTGAATGCTCTCATATATCTTGAAAATAAGGAAAATGTGCATACCCCCCTTCTCCACTAAGGTCATCTTTGTTTTCTTTAGAAGCCCAAAATCTTAGCATGGAAGAGGCTAATGCAGTGGAGAGAGTCGGTATCTTTCTCCCACTTGGGGAAGAGCAATGGGATGAAATCAGAACATTTTTCTTAGGCAATGGTGATGGGCATGTTGAGGATGCCTTTGAGTCAGTGAAGTGACATTTATGTACTGTTGACATAGTCCTGCTGTCACTTACTTGTACTAGACACCCTTTGGGCTTTCTTCAGCTCAGAGGTCAGAGGGAACTTGCCCTGGTTACAGAAAGAGCCACTGAAGTCATCCATGCCAAGGTCCCAGATCATGGCACCTGCAAAGCCATTCTGCTGAAGCCAGTTGGCCAGGTTAGGGAGAGAGGGTAAGATCATTTGGATTTCTGCCACTCATGCGTGGAGCTTCTGTAGATCCAAAGGACTGTACGCACCTTCAGAGAGAAGCTCTTGATATTCTCATACCCAACTCAATCATTGTTGTAATATGCATAGGGAACTTGCTGAGAATTTTCCCAAAGCTGAGTGGCTCCTTTTTCCAGGAAGCCACAAACCTTTAAAATGAAAAGAGATCAAAATTTTAAACTACTATGCTATGAAAAAGAAAATTGTGTTTTTATTTGATATTCTTTGTGCCTCATTTTTGATGAATGTTATTTGTTGGTAAAGACAATGAGTTACACTTTTTAGTGGGGTTGAGCAAGAGCTTCCTGTTAGGAAAAATCTCTACAAATGAACTGTATTAAAAGTCATTTTTTCTTTCTTTTGTTTGCATTTGGTGTTTTATTCCATTATTTTATTTTATTTTATTTTATTTTATTTTATTTTATTTTATTTTATTTTATTTTATTTTATTTTATTTTA